GGTGGGGGGGGGGTGTCTTCCTCCTGTTACAAAATCTGCTGTAAACATATGCTGAAGTACAGAGCCATTGTACGACTCTGCAAAACAGAATGAGTTGCACTTTACTTTTTTTTTTTTTATACATATATATATTCAATCACAGCATGGAGAGTGGAGAGTCTTGACAGTTTATACTGTGAATTTTTCAGCACTAGTAAGGGAATCTGACTGGAATAAATCTATAATTTATGGGATTTACACATTATGAATCCGGAGAAGATGCATACCTTGAGAAAAAGCAGATGTTGCACATACAAAGAAGCACCTCTGAAAACTGGTATACATATATATATTCAATCACAGCATGGAGAGTGGAGAGTCTTGACAGTTTATACTGTGAATTTTTCAGCACTAGTAAGGGAATCTGACTGGAATAAATCTATAATTTATGGGATTTACACATTATGAATCCGGAGAAGATGCATACCTTGAGAAAAAGCAGATGTTGCACATACAAAGAAGCACCTCTGAAAACTGGTGATTTTGTGATTTAAGAAATTGTTGATTTCTATTTTATGGTTTGTGGGGTTTTTTTGTTTGGTTGGGTTTTTTTTGTACTGAGGTACCTAATCCACAGTACTGATTATAGCATGGTTTGGGGGAGTGAGGGATTGTATGACACAGTACAGAACTGCATTTGAAATTCTAGTTTTAATTTTTTTTTTTTTTCTTTGGCTAAAGCCAGTTGCAGTTGGGTTTCTGGAATTGGCAGTTGCTCCTTGCTGGCACTTTGGCTTCAAATCTTAGAAAACAGCAGCTTTTGTTTTGCCTAATTCATGAAGTGTCCCTAACACTCCAGAATTCTCTAGTGGAATTTTTAAGTTCTAGTGAAAGCAAAAGCAGCATTTTCCGTATCGTTCACTTGCTGAACTGAATGTGTACATGAGGAAGAAGAGTCTACAAAAATCTAATCCAGATACAGAAAGGTTAATATTGCACATTGCTGAAGTGGCCACTGTGGGAAGTGCCAAACAGCTTTCATTTCCTGTTTGTTAATATCATTTTTCTCTTCTGCTTACACTGTTTCAAAAATTAGCAGTATCATTTAACTTTTTCTACATGGCCTAGTCCGTTTGCTCAAAATTGCATACACCTGAACAGACGCGCAGTGTTTGTTAACACATTCGCTGTGGTTACACGCGGCAGTTTGCTCTCACTGCCAACCCAAATTCCTCACTAGTCGTGTGCATATTCACTGTTGAAATGTGAATTGTAATTCTGCATGTAAATCTGACATGCAAGTGCACAGGTTTGTTTCTGAAAGTGTGAGACACATATTTTTGGTCTGGTTTTGCTACTAAGTTTTTTAATCAACTGCTTACCTGCTGGGAGGAATAAAGGTTCAAGAATGTATTTAGAATCCTAACCTTGTGTTGTCTGAGCAGTTTTTCCAAAATAACACATCCTGGTACAGGATTCCCTTCTCCCCGTTTTTTCCCCTCCCTGTTCAAAGAGCTGCTCTCTGCTACTCCCAGAGCTGAAGCACGGACTGGTAGGAGTGCGAATGGGGCATGAACTTGGCTTCTGGTGTTGACCGGAAAGCAATCCATGCTTGCTTTATCCTTAGGAGAGGATCCGTGTAAAAATCGGACTTTTTCTTCACACTTCTAGAGACAGCAGTAGCCTTAATTACATCTTAGTCATCCATCCGCCTTACTCACTTTGAACATTTTGAGCCCAGGAGCTGGCTGGAAGGTCTCTGGGAGCTTCTCTTGTCATGGGCAGGTGTACATCCATCTAGATGCTATTACACTGGGCTTAGTGTTATGCCATAGTCGTGCTGAAATATAAAATGGCCTCTAATTTCTCTTGTTACTCTGGTGAAATAGGTCACCTGAGAAACAGCGGTCTGCACCGATAGATCAGCCCTCTGGGAACGTCCATCGAGGTAATTTGATCATTTCCTGCCCTCTGCTGGCAATTAGTGCTGGCGCGCCCGCAGCCAGGGAGAGCCATGTGCTGGGGAGAGCTGTACACATTAAATTGAAGCAATTAACTGATATAGCTAGAGCTAATGAAATCACTGTGAAGCAATTAAACTGAAGAAAGTTTGGATGGTTTAATTTAAAAGCAGCCATTCTAAAAGTTAAGAAAATAATTACATTTGTCAAAACTTGGAATTAAGACGGCTTTGTTCTCCCTCAAAATACGCACTAACTTCCTTATTTTGGAACCAATAGAAGAAGTTTTTACCATTATTTCAGTGACAGATTTTCATACTCGTTTATCAATACACTGACTTTCCTGTGACAGTCATTTCACAGTTTGGATTTCTTCACTTAAAGTAACATGCTTAGAAAAGAAAAACTAGCTATCTCCTTATTGACTTGCCTTGCAGTTACTTACATTTCCTATTTTATCGGGCCAATATTAAACTCTAGTCCTCTTTCCACAAGCACTAGCAGCCCCATCCTAACTTGGTGTCATCTGCAAATTTGTGCAAGTGGAAACTTGGGCTTTTTTTCTGCTCTGTTATATATGGAGCCACCAGGAAGTACAATGCAGATGTTACTAATTACAGAAGTCCTGAAGTTCTGCCAGGCTGCAAACCCAGTGGCTGTTTCTCTTGACGACTAAGGAGCCGTGCAAAGGAGAGGCAGGGGGAACCCAGAGCACAGCTCTTGGCGGCTCAGAGCCTCCCAGAAATTACTTTTCCCTCTTCTAGCCCGTCCTGCAGCCCTGTGTTAGCCGACAGCAAGGTGCCTTGGCTGCTGATGGCAAAACCCATCATCTGCAGTGGGGAACCGCAATGGCACGAGAAGGTCCCGCTGCCAGGCAGGGCTGAGCCCAGCCCCAGTTCCCCGTTCCTGTGCTGGCGACGCAGGCACGGCATGGTGTTGGCCCGGGAGCGAGGGGAGTCCCCAGCTGCCTGGAGTGCTGGCACAGAGCAGGCGTTTCCCCAGCTCAGCAGCCCTGCTCAAGGCAGCAGAGCTGCTCACAGAAATCCAGCAAAAGGTGCTTTCAGCAGTGGCTCTCCTCCCACCAGTTAGCGCGTGGCCAGGCACGGTCCCCAGGGAATGGCTGCGACACGGCCGGTCCACGGCGGGGGCTGCAGGG